GTGTGTGTGTGTGTGTGTGTGTGTGTGTGTGTGTGAAGACAGTTCAAATAATATATTTAATAGACAAAGGTGCATAAACACATAAAATTATTCTATAGTTTACAGGATAATAACTATTTGCATATAAAGTCTCTAGTTCATTTACTTAAAAATGTATTTTATGGCTAATTTCAGTGATGGGAAGCTTATGTCTTCAATTTTTGGATTATCCACAGCAACTGAACTCATTTACCTGCAGTAGATTCCTAGTAAATACTTGCTTTTCCCACAGATATTTTGTACAGAATTGTCGCAATTAAAGGACACAGCCAGAGGAAGCCAGGAGGCCAAATGTGGGACTGTGGCCCCCTGAGATCCTTTGGCCCCAGCGACAAACCATTCTACTGGGTCAAAACCAAATCTCTTTTTCCACAGCCTGATCTCTTCCCATCTCACCGGGCTTTATTTATTCACTTTCATTTTAATTAAAGAGCCTTTCCTTTCTCCTGGGAGTAATACCAGAAAGATGAAGATAAAACCATAGCAATACTTATACATTCTCAGCTGTTATCCAAAAACCATCCTAGCATCATTAGAAGTAGAGTGGATCAAAACTAAACAGCAGTCATAGCAGATAGATAACTGGAGAAGAGGGGCTAAAGCAGGTATATTCACAAAGTATTCTGCCCCAGAAAGATTTTTTTTTCTTCATGATGATATGTGTAAATTGTCAAAAAAAAAAAAAAATCCATCATTTCTCCATGCCTCTGTGGTTTTATGGTGATTTCAGTAATCTTCATTTATTGCATTCATTAGGCACATTTTTGGGGCTTAAACTGAATAAAATTAAATAGTAAACTGCTTCCAAATATTTAGAACAATATGAATTTGGAGGCAGGGATTGTTCTGTTCGCTGATCTTTCAGCTTGCCCTACTTTTCTCTTTCAGGATCTCACAAACATCTGGTGATGCTGACTAAAATGAGAATTAATCTTCCATAATATATCCATTTTTCTCTGGGCTATGCCCATGAGTTTCCAAGAAAACATCCTGAATTTTGTAATTGTCTCTCTTGGTGAGTCAGTCACCCAAATTTTGGGTGCCAAGACCTCTCATCATTCATTCTTACAAAAGCAAGTAAGTGGGTTGCACATGCATCCCTCTCCTTTCTAAGTTACCCTTGCAGTTGTTAGAGGACTAGTCTCTTAGGCATATCGAGAAATATCATCCGATGTCTGGCTCGCTGTGGACAAGACACATGGCCCTGGTGAAACTGAGCTGAAAATAATCACTCTTGCTATACCATGGTTAAAGAGCCTTTAAAAAAAAAAAAAAAGTCTGTCATATTTCTCGATTGAATTTCCACCACACTAACGCGTGTTTTGATTCTGTATTTTAAAATAGAGTGTAATGAAACAGTCACACGTTTCATACAGGCATACAAACAGGGAAATGTGCTGCCCATTTGGGGTAAAATATTTAACCACAAGCTCCACTGTCAGCCAGGAGCCCTATGACCTTCTGCCACAGGCTCTCATGTGGCTCCAGTCAGTAGGATCCCATCCCGAATCCTGTCATTGTTTTCATAGAAACCAGACACTTAGATATTGGGATGATGTTTATGTGTGTAAAGCAGAGTTTAAAAACCTGGTGCAGTCTGCAGTGATTAGTAGTACCGCTGTCTCCCTTTGTGACATTGTTCTGCTCTCCCTTCCCCACTGTGCAGCAAGGTGTGGTTTGGGTGAGGCTCCCCCTCCCCAGTCCCAGAGATAGGGGGGTAGGCGTGTGTCTAAACTACCTGGAAACTGCATCCTCTGAGGTACAGTAACTAGCTGAGCTGGGCCTATGACCTAGGCTGAGCCAATTAGAGGAAAGTCAGACCTTCGCAGTCTCTACCTGAGCGTGAGGGCGTGCTTTCATTGGGCAATAGGCAGTCTACAAAGAGGAAGCCAAGTGTCCCAAAGGGAAACCAGCCAAGTTCTAGAACCATCTTGAAAGTTTTTCTTAACTTCCCTTTGCACCCCAGGAACTGCTCACCTTCAAACTGGTAGAGATTCTGCAGCAATTCTTTTAGTTTCCCTCCTCCTCCCCATTTTATAGGAGACCAGGCTCAACAGATGGAGTAACTTGTCCCATGTCACACAGTTCAACTCTTCTGACTCAATTTTATTTTTCAACTCTTTTTTTTTCCCTATGCAGTTTTTCAATCACTAAATTAAGTTAACACAGGAAATGTTTCTTAGTGTTAACATACTTGGCTATATGGTTTATATCATGTATGGTTTATATCAAATTCTTGGTTTATATCAAGAATTACATGTTGCGAGGCAATTTTTCACACCATATAATGAGCAGCATAGGACTCAAGAAATCAAAGTGTGCTTCAATTTGGCTGAAGGGTTGAATGCCTTGATGTTAGGAGTACACAATTTTGTTTATGAAGTTATGGAGAACTGCCTAGAGTAACAGAAATAGCTGGAAAGCTGTTCAACTCTTGATTTTATTATTCCTGTTCATATTTCTTCTCTGTTTCTGATACTGAAATCTAGTGGGTTTTCACATGATAGACATGACAGAGACTATATGATGTCCCCAAACTTACTCTCTCTCTCTCTCTCTCTCTCTCAATTTGTGTATTTGGTACAGGGTCTCACTAAGCAGCTCAGACTTGTATCAATCCTCCTGGTTTCAGCCTCCCCAGAGCTGGGATTATAGACTTGCACCACCACACCCGGACTTGGTCACTGGATCATCACACCCAGGGGGGTGGGGCCAGCGCGGCATGTGGTACCAGGAATCGAACCCCAGTCCCTGCTCTTGCCTAAGCAGTTTCCTCTCTTTCTAAACACACAGCAGGACTGTGTTTTCCAGCATCCTTCACAGCACAGTGTGACCATATCACATGGGGGCCAGGACAGGGATCACAGAAGACATGCTCCATTTCCCGGCCTCCCTCTAAAACCATCAACCACCAACTACAGGGAGGAGTATGTGTGATCCCAGTTATTCCAAAGGCTGAGGCAACAGGATGCTTGAGCTTCAGAGTTCAGGGCTAGCCAGGGCAATATAGAAAGATCTTAGCTCTTAAAATCACAGGCATATGGAACACCAATCTACAACTGTCTGTATTCTTTCCCCAAACTAGGGACTTTGCAAGCCATCTGTTAAAGATGGTGGAATTATGTGATGGAAAGAATCTGAGCCCCAGAATTACGATGGAAAAGAACCACCTGCAGATCAGAAACATGAGCCAGGCTTCGCATTCCACCATGCTAAACCACTGAGACTTCAAGGTTTTTCAGTTTAGCAGGGTAATGTAACCAGTATCTCCTTAACTAACATTGCAGATATTGTCCATGCCAAAGCACCCTCTTAGAAAGACACACATAGAGCCTCCATTAGCTCAGGGCATGCAGCAGAAAGGCTCCAATTTAAAATAGGTCAGACACTTAGAGGAAAAGTGAGAGGGTGACAGACATTGAGAGAACAAGGAGGAGGGAGAAAATAAGGCATCCACAGATGATAGTACCTACAGCCAAGATGCAGCCCAGCAGGGCTACAGCACTTATACCACCCAGCCACCTCAAGGATATGCACAGACCACCCAGGCAACAAAGCTATGGACCCTATGGACAGCCTACTGGTGTCAGCTATAAAACAAGGCCAATGGTAAGAGGAGGATTAGTCAGCCTCAAGAGCACTTTGTATTTCCTTCATGC